AGAGAGAGAGAGAGAGAGAGAGAGAGAGAAGACAGAATGAAAGACAGAAAGGGAAGGGGGAGGGGAGAAAGAGAGAGGTGAATTTCTTTTGCTTCTCAAATACGGGCGTAAAGTTGTTTTAGCATAGACACATAGATTTTCCTGCAAATACGTGCTCTTTTTCAGTAACCATAAAGTGACCAAATCACATATTTTTCCTAACATCATGTGAATGGCATGGAGAGGTAATGTAGTAATCACAAGGATCCACGAATGGGGGCGGGGATTGGGTGGTGCGAGGCAGCGTTGACGCAGGGATGGGGTTGACGGCGGCCGGTGGTGAGGGCAGGGTCTCGGCCAGGACCACCGCAGGGGATTCCCAGGGATTACTTTCCTGGCTACAAGCTAGAGCGCCCTCCAGCCAGACGGGGCTGGGCTGCTCGGTTCTGCTCATCGTTTTGCACCGTCTGTACGGGATAAAATCGTACGATTGTAAAAAAGTTAACACTTCGTGTAAACTGCGAAACAAATATCTAAATAAATATACATTATATATCCTAATGTGAATATAAACATTTTAATTTGAAGAATTTGGTTGGCAATTCGTGTGGTAATGTTAGTCGTCTTATGGTCTTTTGTTCTTATGCGCAGTTCATATTAGAGTTACAGTTATCTGAAGTTGACCGTCAGTTGTTCAGTTGCACGGGGTGTAGCGGTGTTGTGAGTTGGCCTATTCTGTCAGCCCATATAGCGTCATGGCCCCAGCGGTATGCAAACTCGTAACACTGCTGCTAGAGGTGTTCATTCTGACCACATGGTACCAGGGGTTTAAACTATGTTGTTGATGTGGTCGCATGAATGTGTGCACCGCAAAAAGTTCAGCTGACCACCAGAAACCTTGGTCCGTAAACATTCTAGAAATTTACATCATTTGTTTTTGGGTACATTCAACAAAGGGGCGGTGGGCTGGGCCTCGAGCACAGTGTTGATTGTTGGCGGTACTGAGGTAATGTGGAATTGCACTCCAACATGTGGTCGCGCCGACAGCACGCTCTGGCCCCCCGCGCGCGGCCCGTGTGGTGCAGAAACGGGTTCGTTTGAAAAAGCTACGTCGAGGGACGTATTGTGAAAGCAGATGATACAAAATTTAAGGATATGTCTGTGTTCTAATTTTCTCTCATATTTTGCTGTTCTTTGTTCGTTAATGGCTGTTTCTTGCTATATTGCAATTCGGTGGACAAGTGGCATATGGCATAGAGGAGGAGATAGGGGGCGGCGGGCGGGCGGCGGGCAGAGTAGGGCTGTGCGATATCTCGATATTTCGATATCGATACGATATCATGTTGAGATCGAGGGCTTCGATATGCTTCCGATATCGACCTATCGATATCGAGGCTCGATAATATCGATGGTATCGAGGCGTATCGTGGGTATGTTGGCGTATCGAAGGCACGATATACCTCGATATCGTACTGTATCGTGGGTATTTTAAAGTATCGAAGGCACGATATACCCCGATATCGTGCTTCGATACCATCGATACGCCTCGATACGTCGATAATATCGAGCCTCGATGTATCGAGGCGATGCTCGATACCTGCCTGATATCGTATCGCGATATCAAAATCTGTGTATCGCACAGCCCTAGGGCAGAGCGGCCGGCACCCGTGCAGCTCAGTATTGTTGGGTATTGTTGGGAACGGCGGGCGCGGCCGGCGGACAACTTTTTTCCCCCTATACATCATACATCTAGGTGACGTCATGCGCTCGGTTCTCTGTCCTTACCGATAGTAAAAGCTAGCTGACACCTTAAAGTTATTTATACATTCTTTATGTTTAGTCATGAGATGGTTTAGTCAAAAGATTTTTAAGGCATCATCTGCCAAAAATCATGGAAAATTCTTTTATTTGTTCATGCTGCGAATTCTTTTGTCCTAGCTCATCTTTAGCGTAACTTCAATGAAGACGATGAAGACACCGGGGCCGACAGAGTAGGTTTTAATGTTCTATTTTTTACTTTTTCTTGTCCTTACTTTCACCTTGAGGCTGTCCTCGTCGTGCGCGAAGTGACACGCAAACAGTAGGCACGTCTTGTTGGCGACACGTCGGTCGGAAGTGGTCGTCGTTTCCTCATCGCCGGCCGGCCTGCGGCCCGTCCGCGGGTCTCGCTGCCCGCCGCCGGCTACCCTCGACCTTCTCCTACCCCGCACCCGCCAGCCAGCCAGCTCTAGCCCGGCCCTCCGCGCCGCGTTGCCGCGCCGGGCGCAGAGCAAAAGTGGACGCTTTCCTGGCCTTTACATCCATCGCCAACTCATCCGTGTCCAACAGCAGTCATAACTCGTGCAACCCCCCCCCCTCCCCCTGTCCCTCTCAGTGGGACGGAGACCCCCGCTGCGTCACGCCGGCAGGAAACAGCGATTCTCAGGACGCTTTCTCGTGAAAGCTCCCTGAAGTTCCTGAGGGCCCACCGCCGCGGTGGCGAGGTTTCTGCTCACGTATTCCACTGCCATTCCGCACCTTGCGAATCTAACTGTATTATAACAAGATGACAGTTTCGACGACGAAACTAATAAAGTTTTTTTTAAGTTTTACAGCAAGACTGCAAATGTTTACACTTCAAACTTACAAAAAAGGGTAACGGTTTTAACTATGTACATCAGTCGTCCCATTAATCGGGAAACGTTTAGTGCCCTTTCTATACACGTATTTTTGGTTCGTTTTCTTATTTTTTGAGTGGACATTCTTTCGCGCAAGCACTCCGCACGTGGCAGGGGCATAACTGGCCGGTAACGATTTCACGAAACGATCAGCATCCTTGGAAGCCACTTTACGACGGACGGCCGAGCGAAGAGATGGATGAGTGGAGGTTGAGAGGGAGAGAAAGGAGAGGGAGCTCAGGGGGAAACGGAGAGCGAAGGGGAGAGCAATGGGGGATGTAGTGGAAGGAGAGAGAGAGAGAGAGAGAGAGAGAGATAGAGAGAGAGAGAGAGAGAGAGAGACAGAGAGAGAGAGATGAGTGTGGGGTGGCGAGAGAGGGGAGACAGGGATGTGTCAGCGGTCTGCGGGTAGGCGACGGCGCCTGCATGGGTAGAACCACATCATCATCTGGCGAAGATGAGACCGCCCCGATGCAATTACACCCTCGATGTATGGACAATAATAGAGCACGCGCGCGTATGTGTGAAAGAGGGGAACGGGCAGGCGAGAAAATGTAATACGTTTTTAGGAGAAGACAGTAAGGGGATGGTGGGGGAAGGATTTTTACAATATTCTCCGATTTTGACCGGTTTTGGTCGGATCGGAGGAAATTTGAAAAAATTCGTAAAAATTTGGAAAATTTGGAAAAAATTCTGAGAAAATTGGAGTAAGTCTGAGAAGGTCAGAAAAGCTTGAGAACCAGCTGTCATTGTCCTGTGTACATTTTTTACCCTGTGGAGGGTTAAAAGTGAACAAAAAAGGACTGAGCGGGACTGAGCATCTTTAACCCGCACTTAGAAAACCGTTTTATCCGCGCAACAAAAACGCAATCCAAGAAAATTTTACTTGCGTAAGACAAATTTTGGTCGCCCAGATGATATCTTAAAAACCTTTGACTAAACATAAAGTTTAAGGTGTCAGATAGCTTTCTTTACTCTCGATAAGGACACAGAACCTAGCGCATGACGTCACCCAGATGTATAGGGGGGAACAAGTTGTTTTAATTCGGATCGTCTATTTGTTAACATGAAATGTGTTATTCTTAAGGAACCTGCAGAACGACATTGAGAAACCAGTGAAGAATGCGCGAGGAGCAAAAACAAATTCGGAAGATGTCCCAGGGCAGCACTGTGGGCGCCTGCGACCCGCAGCATAGGCAAGCCGCACGACAGCCACGCAACCAACTCGGGATGTGGCCGACCTCCCAGGGGCTACGAGCGTTCACCAGCCGCCAGGAGGAGGAAGCGTGGCTGGATCGTCGGGGAAAGAGAAGGAGAGAAGGGGAGAGGGGCGAGGAGAGTATACGGAGGGATGAGGGGGTAGGGGGGGCTAGATGACGAGGGGGAGGAGGTGGAGGTCGAGGAGGATCGTCCATCACAACACAGACAAAGCCAATGGGTCCGCGGGGGGCTCATCCAATGGCACATCGCTTTATCGTTGAACGGTTCGAATTTATCGCGG